CCCCTCTGAACCGGGCACTCCCCCCCACAGCTCTGACCCCCAGCTCTGAGCCCAGCCCCTCTGAGCCAGGCACCCCCGACCCAGAGCCCAACTCCCCACCCAGCTCTGGGCAACAGTAGCGCCACCCCGAGGCAGCGACAGCCCATTGGCACCAACCATCATCATCACCCAGTGACAGCCCATATTGCAAATTTATACGTCATTAAAACATTTCATGTTTTTAAATGATGTATTTCGTGTATTTTCAAATTATTAAAAATTAATTTTTGAATGTATTTCACTGGTTATTTTTTACATTTCCAAATACATGTTACTATAGTATTGCAACTTTTTTATGGAAGGGACCCCTGAAATTGCTTTGCCCCAGGCTCCCTGAACCCTCTGGGCAGCCCTGCATTCTGTTACTCGGATTGTGCAATCCAATCTGTCCAGGACTGAATTCAGGACCCGGGCTAGGGGGACCAATTCAATGCTCATTGAAGAGATGGAAGTTTTTCTGCTAGAAAAATGATAATTACTTTCCATGAAAAAAATTGAAAGAAGCCAGAAAAATTTCATTTTGTGCAAAACCATCTGCTGAAATATTTGTTTGTGAACAAAAAAAAAAAGAAAGAAAAATATTTTGATGAATGAAAAAGCCATTTTCTCTCTCTCTTTTTTTTTATACTGGCTCTACTTTCCATTGACTCCAATGAGTGTTGAATCAGGTCCAACATAATGTTATTCTTCAGTATGATTATCAGAGCTTTTGCAATAAATATTTTACATCACTGAATAAAAATATTATTCATGAGACTTGAATAATACATATAATCTTCTTTAAAGAAGAACACTCACCTACAGTCAGTTGTCCAGTTAACTGTCCCATGTGATTTCTTGCATTCACTGTTACGTTCCTGTCAGACTGTAAGACCAGTGGGCTATCCTGGTAAACATGTATAAGACAAGCAAATGAGAGAAAAAAAAGATGTAGAGGTAGAATTCAGTTAGAACTGTAAAAATAACCCCATACATATGATGATAGGGTCTTGCCAAAACATTATATTCTTATTTTACATCAAAATTCATGTAAATATATACAAAGAACAAAAATCTTAAAAATGAAAATCTTACTGCACAGCCTCTATTTTTAGAGATGAGATATGAAATCATGCTCTAGAAATAATGTTTTATTCTCTGAGGAACACGTTTGGATGATACAATTTATGAACTAAAAATAATAAAAATGTTGCATTTTATCTTAACCTTTACCATATAACAAAATCCACCTATTTTTCATACAGTACCCTTAGGTGTTTGTAAAGTAAGATTATAAATGATATTAAGCCTTTGGCGGAGTAAGTGTTATTCCTATTTCTGGACTGATGAAAACAGAAGTGTAGAAAGGTTACAGAGGACATCACTAAGTTAACAATCACAATGAATTATTTTCCCTACACTTATTACAAATAGTGCCTGAGATTAGAGGGGATTTTCTTTTTATAGCTTGTTAGCTTTGTGCATTTGACATGACCTTGTGTAGGATCAGTTCCGCTATTTCCACTACTTAGTTTGTCCAATTGTTTACATGGGCTTTTCATATAACAGGGGAGGGAAATAAATTAAAAAAAAAAGAACATGCAATATACCCTTGCTATAACAAACCTATTGGGATCCAGGCCATTTGTTCATTATAGCCAGGGGTACGTTATAGCAAAAAAACCAATCATAATGAGGCCTGTTGGCTAGGGTTACCATTCATCCGGATTCCCCCGGACATGTCCGGATTTTTGAACTAAAAATAGCGTTCGGGGGGAATTTGTTAATGTCCGGACTTCTCCCCCCTTCCCCCCATGCAGAGCACCCGCGGCTAACAGGGCAGCCGGATGGTGCCACTTACATGGGGCTCCGACAGCGAGAGGGAATCCCTCCTCCCCCTGCAGCAGAGCTCACTCACTCACTCACTCACTCCCTCCCTCCCTCCCTGCATCGCAGATCGGCTCTGGCAGTCTGGAGCTCCTCCCCCGCTGCTGCCAAGAGGCTCAGGCAGTTCCTGAGCAAGTTCACCAAGATGTTAGGTGAAAAAAGGCCAACAACAAGGGGGCCAGGGGGTCGGAGAAGGGGCAGGGAGGTTCTGGAGGGGGCAGTCAAGAGACGGGGGGGTCGGGAGATCGGGGGTGCTTTCTGGGGTGTGTGTGGATAAGGTTTTGGGCAGTCAGGGTACAGGTAGGGGGTAGGGTCCTGGGGGGCATTTGGG